ACAACAAGAGTCGTTAGATAAAGTAGAAACATACGCTTCTGCTGATAGCGTACCTCGTTTCTACACATGCCAAACAAAAGTATCAACAGCGATGGNTTACCACACCACACCGTCAACAACAAGAGTCGTTAGATAAAGTAGAAACATACGCTTCTGCTGATAGCGTACCTCGTTTCTACACATGCCAAACAAAAGTATCAACAGCGATGGCCAGAGAACACCAAGCAAACATTTTTAATATTCATTTTTGTTTATCTTAAGATTTCGTTTGCGCTTAACTGCTTGGAAGGCTGCTGATGCTGCTGATGACTCTTCATAGAAAATGCATTGTTTGTAATTCATTAAATGTGATGTGTACATACGTATGTACATATTTCTGTTTGTATTTTAAACTATGTACGTTAACAATTGACATTGTATTAAATTATTACTTGAACACGTGCAAATTGATCTGACCTAAAGATGTGGGAACCTCTAGAAAAGTAATTGACTGCAGTCAAGATGACACCTTTTTATAGTGTTAAGCAAACCATTGAAAACCCCTTACTAATTAGGTTTTTTTTCAATTGCATTGTAATTATAAAATAATCTCAGATTAAACCGATAACTTTTCGGTGTCCCTCCTAGTTTTATCGACTGTTTTTGCAAAGAAGAGGAGAAATTCCAAATGTAAAAGTAAACAAAAATGTACGCTAGCAAGGAAAAGAGGTTTGTAAAGGTATTTTTAATAAAATGTTAAGTTAAAATATATTTATATTGCTTATTATAGCATAAAAACGTGATCACGCTGGCACAGAGAAGAAACATAACTCTTCATTGAGATGTGAGAATAACAAGCACAACAAATTTGACGGCTAATAATCTGAGATTTGCCTGTGTAAACGGGGTGATTAAAAAACGAGCTTTGATTAGGATAATATTGATATGTGAACATAGTTTAAGATATCTCACTTGTATTTGTACACAATGCCATTTGCAAACATTTCTCATACAATAGATACTGAACTGACTTTTTACTCTAGAGCTGTAAAACTATCGATGGTACTATCGATACTATCGAATGGTTCTATTTTTTTGCACTATCGAATGGTCGTTGGCCACTATCGATAGTCTTTCTTTGAGGAAATATACATATATCAATATGTTTGTATTATATGTACTATTTAGTACGCATGTTTTTATTTTTGAAAATGGGAATTTGGCAACATTTGCTTACAAATCACTGTTTTTTACCTATTACCGGATTTTACACGGTTCAAGTATTGAGTTCAATTCTGCTGTCTAGTGCAACAGCCCTGCCAGCCACGGCTCACCACTTTCCCCTGAAATTCAAACGATTTACAAACACATTCACAACTTTTTAGTCATCTCACCCACACACTTACACATTTTTTGTTCGAACTGTCAAAAAAATGTCCCTTTGTTAGAGCTACATACCCGATAAGAATTCGTACTCTAATAAGAATTCTATGCGTTAGAGCGAGCAAGTTAGAAGCATCGGAGTTTTGATGACAGTATACATACGGTGAAGAAATGTCACTTTGCGAAAATTTTGAAGGTAAGGATACGTATTTAACAATTTTATTTAATTATAATGTAATTTCTTCTTTTA